GGACAAAGCCAAGAAAGACACAGGGAACAGCGCGACGCGAGATCTTGTCCGCAGACGTATCGCGGACAAAGGCTCGGGATCCCCACACCCGGAAACGCGACGCATCACCAACCTCTCCCGTCCACCGCAGAGTCGGGGAAGTCTCCGGGAAGGAGACACGGGGCCAGAGGTTGAGCTGATGCGCTGCGTAACGGACCGCAAACGGCCACAGAAAGTGGGGAGCAGCCGCATGGGTCAGGGAGGTACGAGCGACCTCCATGACCAAGCCAATGCGGCGCTCAGCGACCCCATTCTGCTGTGGAGAGGCCGGAAGCGTGAACGACTGCTCGATGCCGTGCTCAGCACAGTAGGCTGCCAAGAGTTCGGAGGCGAACTCACCACCTCTGTCAGAGTGCAGGCGTAGGACTGGAAAGTCCGAGCGAAAGCGCTTGCCTAGCTGGAGACGGGCTCGGCTGATCCAGGGGATCAAGACATCAGGGACGTCACCCTTGCTGCGCAAGGGGAAGACCGTGGTGTAGCGCGAGTAGTCGTCAACAACTATCAGGAAGTACCGCTCCTGACCCTGACCACGGACGCGGGCTGGGCCCCACACGTCCATGTGTAGCGTCTGCAAAGGAGCAGTCGTCGGGGGGAAGGAGGAGGAGTGGGGAGCGGCGCGCTGCCGCCCCTCAACACAGGGAATGCAGTCGGGAGCAGGTGAGGGGGGGAGGGGAGGGAGAACCCGAGGGAGACCAGAGACAAGCTGCCGCTTGTGCATGGCACGAAGGCGCTGCACAGACGGGTGGCCAAGTCGGTGGTGCCAGAGGACAGTGTCGTGCGCCAGAGAGCGACACGAGCAGGGGGCGGACAGCTGACCTGACGCCGACGCAGACGCGGACGCAGCTACCTGAGGGGACTCAGTGGTCAGTGTGTACAGGTCCGACCCCGGCTCCCGAGTAAAGGTAGCCAGGTGGCGACCCGTCCGGGCACACGTGCAGTGGGTCACTCGCTCGTAGGCAGGGGTGGTCTGGTGAACACCCCCATCCTGTAGCTCACATCCTGCCACCAAGTTCGTAGAGAACGAGGGGAGGTAGAGACCCGACAGCGTGCCGGACGGGACTGCAGGACAAGGGAGGACAGTGGAGTGAGTCGCAACGACTGGACCCCCAGTGGGGTCAGCTAGCGAGACTGCAACCGGCCGAGCAAGAGGCTCAAGGACAGTGCGGTCACGAAAGAAGGAGCGGGAAGCACCTGAGTCAAGAGTGAAGGTGTGGAGTGCGGCGGTCGGCTCAGTACCAGGGGCGACTGGGGCTATAGCACCTAGGGCAGTAGCCTCACCAGGACCTGGGGCAGCAGACACACTAGTACCTAGGGCAGCAGCCTCACCAGGACCTGGGGCAGCAGACACACTAGTACCTAGGGCAGCAGCCTCACTAGCACCTAGAGCAGCAGCCTCACCAGAACCTGGGACAGCAGTCTCACAAGTACTGAGAGCGGGAGCCTGACAAGTCACAATGCCCGGGTCGGGCGGAACACGCAGGTACTGAGCACTCTCTCCACTAATAGACATCGCATACATGGCAGTGAGAATAGCGTCAAAGTCTAAAGCCCAAATATCAACACCCTTCCTTTCCAGCTCAGGCCAGTGGGGCAGCTCGGCACGCCAGGAAACTGGGCGCGCCACGCGTCAGTAAGGCGCTGGTAGCAGCGCTGCGTGGGGTGCGGCCTCCCACACGGCAGGCCCTTGCGGTCACCAGTGCGGTGGACGTACGTGCAAGTGGAACCACGCTGTGCGTACCACTCACGGGCGGCCTGGAGGGTCGGGGCGTGCTGCTGACCCTGGCCACCACCAGCGTCTCCACGACCACCACCGCCACCGCCACCGCCTCGGCCACCTCCACCCCTGCCGCGACCACGACCACCACCGCCGCCGCTACTACCGCCGCTGCCGCCACTACTCCCGCCGCCGCTGTCACCACCCCCACTGCCACCACCAGTGTCTCCAGACCCACCGCCACCCCCACTGCCGCCACCCCCACCGCCACCCTTGCCCCCCCTGCTCTTGCGACGCCCGCTCGAGGCAGACGCAGCCCCGACCTTCTCAGCACCAAGGAGGTCGACAGCAGCAGCAGTGGCGACAGAGGGGAGAAGGGGGGAAGGGGAACACCCCTCAAAGAAGGGGTGGCGGGGCTCGCCACGAGAGGCACCTACGGCGACGATGCTCGCCTCAGCTGCAAGTAGATCCTTCTCAAGGATGGCGATGGTGAGCTCAGTAGGGGAGCGAGCAAGAAGAGAGTCCCTGACTGCGCGCAGTGAGTCAGGGAAGCGGGTGACAATGTGGTAGAGCGTGAGCCAGAGCGGTGGGGGGTTGCTGGCGAGGAACTCGGCAGGCATAGCAGCGCGAAAGCGGGCCTCACTGGTCTTAAGGTGAGTAATGAGATCGGCAACGGTCTGAAAAGAGGCCAGGTCAGGGAAGAGGTAGGGTAGGGTGAGGCGGCCTAGGGTGGCAGACGCAGGCGAGGAGTAGCGGGCAACGACGGCTGTGTACAGGTCCTGAGCAGTCTTGCACTGGCCGAAGTGCTCGCGCTCATCTAGCGGTAGCGAGTTGCGGATAGCAAAGCGAGCATGCGCGTCGCGGGTCTGCCACTGGGAGCGTAGCGTGCTGGCAGCAGAGGAGTCAGGGGCAGTAGCATGGCCGAGGGCATGATCATACAGGGAGATGTCTTCCTTGGCAGTGAGCTGTAGGAAGAGGTGGAGATCCTCAAGCCAGGTGTCAAATTTCACTGGGCGACCCTCAGCATCGAAGGCTAGGACAGGAGCGCTAGCCATGATAGCAGGAGGAGGAACAGTCGAAAAATGGAAGGATAACAGGAACAGCAGCAGTTGGGACAGCTGCGGCAGTTGCTGCAGTTGAGTCGGCGACGGCAGCTGCTGCAGGAGGTGCGGCTGTTGCCGCTGCTGGAGATGTGGAGGCGGTCGTTGCTGGGTTGGCGGCGGCCACTGCTGCAGAGGCAGCGGCGGCTGATGCTGATGTAGCTACGGCGGCCGCTGCAGGAGATAGCGGCGGCTGCTGCTGCAGAAGATGTGGCAGCTGCTGCTGCAGTAGATGCTGCGGCGGCTGCTGGTGAAGATGCGGCAGTTTCCGCTGTAGGATGTGGCGGCGGCTGCTGCTACAGTAGATGCGGCAGTTGTCGCTGCAGGAGGTGGCGGCGGCTGCTGCTGCAGAAGGTGCGGCAGCTGCTGCTGCAGGAGATGCTGCGGCGGCTGCTGCTGAAGATGCGGCAGCTGCTGCTGCAGTATGCTGCGGCTGCTGCTGAGATGCGGCAGCTGCTGCAGTAGGCCTGCTGAAGATGCGGCAGCTGCTGCTGCAGTAGATGCTGCGGCGGCTGCTGCTGAAGATGCGGCAGCTGCTGCTGCAGTAGATGCTGCGGCGGCTGCTGCTGAAGATGCGGCAGCTGCTGCTGCAGTAGATGCTGCGGCGGCTGCTGCTGAAGATGCGGCAGCTGCTGCTGCAGTAGATGCTGCGGCGGCTGCTGCTGAAGATGCGGCAGCTGCTGCTGCAGTAGATGCTGCGGCGGCTGCTGCTGAAGATGCGGCAGCTGCTGCTGCAGTAGATGCTGCGGCGGCTGCTGCTGAAGATGCGGCAGCTGCTGCTGCAGTAGATGCTGCGGCGGCTGCTGGAGAAGATGCGGCAGCTGCTGCTGCAGTAGATGCTGCGGCGGCTGCTGCTGAAGATGCGGCAGCTGCTGCTGCAGTAGATGCTGCGGCGGCTGCTGCTGAAGATGCGGCAGCTGCTGCTGCAGTAGATGCTGCGGCGGCTGCTGCTGAAGATGCGGCAGCTGCTGCTGCAGTAGATGCTGCGGCGGCTGCTGCTGAAGATGCGGCAGCTGCTGCTGCAGTAGATGCTGCGGCGGCTGCTGATGAAGATGCGGCAGCTGCTGCTGCAGTAGATGCTGCGGCGGCTGCTGATGAAGATGCGGCAGCTGCTGCTGCAGGAGATGCTGCGGCGGCCGCTGCTGAAGATGCGGAAGGAGCCGCTGGAGAAGATGCAGCAGCTGCTGCTGTTGTAGATGCAGCGGCGGCTGCTGCTGAAGATGCGGCAGTTGCCGCTGAAGAGGGTGCAGTAGTTGCTGCTGCTGGAAATGCAGCGGCAGTTGCTGCAGAAGAAGCGGCAGTTGCTGCTGCTGAAAATGCAGCGGCGGCTGCTGCAGACAATGCGGCCGTGGATGCTGCAGGAAATGACGCGGCGGCCGCTGCAGAAGGTGTGGCTGCGGCTGCTGCTGGAGATGTAGCGGCGGCTGCTGCAGATGGCGCGGCGGCTGCTGCTGCTGCAGCTGCAGTGGCGACCAGGCCGCAAACCGGCGGCAACAAGGCCGCGAATCGGCGGCGACGAGGCCGCGGCCGGGCGGCAGCGACGCCGCAAAAGGCGCGACAGAGTCACGACACGGCCGTGGAAAAAAAAAAAGGGAGGGGGGGAGGCCGTGAGAGAGTCGCGCGGGGCCAACAAAGGGGCCGGGAAAAACGAAGAAAGAAACGGCCGCAACTGGCCGTCGAGGAGAAAGCGCCCGTGGCGCGACTAGGGGAAACGCAAAGCGCGCTCCGGGCAGAAAAAAATTCTTAAACGTGGTGGGCCCTTCCTAGGAACCTTCCTGCTCTATACCATGTCAAGGTGAGAGAGGAATGATGTCGACTAGTTTGGGGCATGGGGTACAAAAGTGACGAGAGAAAAGTTGTACCCCCTAAGAAACACCCCTACAAAACCTAAACCTAAATTATATAGAGCATATAATTTGACACAACTCGCCCCAGCGAGGGATCTAAGTGGCGTTGGGGAACTAGAGACGCCAGGCGTCCGTCAGGCGGCCGAAGCGGTGCTGGGTGGTGTGCGGGCCACCGCACGACTCACCAGTGCGGTCGCCGGTACGCAGGACGTAGGCACAGGGACCAGGACCCCCAACCCGCTGACGCGCAACGTACCACTCACGAAGCTGCTTCGGGGGCGGGGTCTCACGAGTGCGCTGCTACTGCTGGCGCTGACCACCACCGAAGCCGCCCCACTGCACAGAGCCACCTCGACCAGCTCCTCCACCGCCGCCACCACCGCTGCCACCACCGCCTCCTCCGCTCCCACCGCCACTGCCGCCGCCGCCTCCGCCTCCACCGCCACCACCGAAGCCCCCACCCTCGCCACCACTCCCACCGCCACTCCCACTCCCTCCACCGCCTCCACCGCCACCTCCACCGCCACCTCCACCGCCCCCCCCAGCTCCTCCAGCGCCCTTGCCCCCCTTGCCCTTGCCGTTGCGGCATCTCCCGCTCGGGGCAGACGAATCGCCGACCGACTCAGTGCCAACGAGGTCGACCGCAACAGCAGAGGCAACAGAGGGCAATAGGGGGGAGGGGGAGCACCCCTCATAAAGGGGGGCACGAGGGTCATCACGAGAGTCTCCTACAGTGACTATACTCTTCTTAGCTGCCAGGAGGCGCTCCTCGAGGAGGTCAACGGTGAGTGTGGTGGGGCAAACAGAGAGGAAGTGGTCCCTGACCGGGCGAAGGGAGTCAGGGAGCCGGTTGACTAGGAAGTAGAGGGTGATGTACATTTGGGGGGGGGGGTTCTTGGCGCAGAACTCAGGAGGAAGCGCAACACGGTAGCGGGTGTCACTAGTGCGGAGGTGCGTAATGAGGTTAGCGATTGTGGGAAAGGCGGCAAGGTCAGGGAACAGGTACGGCAGCATGAGGCGACTAAGGGCAGTAGTGGCAGGGGAAGAGTAGCGTGCAACTACAGCGTCGTACAAGGTCTTAGCACTCTTGTACTGAGCTAAAGTGCGCGCGCTCAGTGGACGGCAGGCTGACTACGCACAGCAAGACGGGCGGCAGCATCGCGTGTGGCACACTGTGAGCAAATAGTACTGTCAGTATCGGCAGTAGGGGCAGCAGAGGCGCCAGACGTGAGATCGAACAGTGAGAGACCATCTTTCCTATTGCACTGCAAGAAAAGCTGCAGATCATCGACCCAGACCTCAAAGTCGACAGCTCGACCCTCAGCATCCAAGGTGAGAACATTGGGGGTAGCCAGGACAGGAGCAGCAGCAGACTAGCAGCAACAACAGTAGGCTAGCAGCAGCAGCAGCAGGCTAGCAGCAGCAGCAACAGCAAGAGGGGCGCGGCTCGGCGGTGCTCTTACCAGGGGCGGGTGGGTAGAGGTCCGCAAGTGGTGGGGCAAGGCCGTGGTGGGCCGGCAGGAACATGGCCGCGACAGGGAGGCAGAGGAGGGCCGCGCCTCGGCTGCAGGGTAGGGCCGGGACGGCGGCGGCTGTCACAGCAGTGGCAGCGGCGGTTGTTTCAGCAGGAGCGGCGGCGGCTGTCACGACCGCAGCGGCGGCGGCGACTGGTCGTGGAGGGTCCATGGAGGAAGCAGCAGCGGCAGCAGGCGCGACGGCAGCTGCTGCTGGGGCGCCGACGACGGGGCGGCAGGGCCGTGAAGAGCCGGGGAGGGGCCGCTAAGGGGCTGTGATGAGCCGCGAAGGGGGCGCGGAGGGGCCGTGAAGGAGCCGCGAAGGGTCGCGGAGGGGACGCGAAGGGGCCGCGAAGGGCGGTGAAGGGGCCGCGATGTGCGGCGAAGGGGCCGAGAAGGGGCCGCGAGGGGCCGCGAAGGGGCCGCGAGGGGCCGCGAAGGGCCGTGAGAGGGGCCACGAAGGGCCGCGAAGGGGCCGCAAAGGGCCGTGAGAGGGGCCGCGAAGGGGCCTTAAGAGGGCGCGACGGGCCGCTAAAGGCAGGGGACGCGACGGGAGGGCAGGCGCACGGGGCGTGACTAGGGCATGCGCGAAGCGCGCTCCGGGCAGGTAAAAAAAAAAATCGTTTCAGTGTTGGGCCCTAGAAAACGTTCCCTCTAGGGAACCTGCTCTATACCATGTGGAAATAACGAGGAATGATTGACTATAAAATGAGTTTTGTACAAATATGTAACCCTAGGAAACTGTACCCCATACTGTCTACCCCACTACAGCCTAGAAAGACTATAGCATGAATGTTTGACATTTCAGGCATAAGCGCATGCGCTTATATAATGACAAATATAAATTTTTACTTTTAGGGTACCAAATTGTGCCTTATTTTATATTAATATGTGCTTATAATAAGTAAAGGTTTTTTAGGGGGGGGCGCTTATAATCGAGTTTCGGCCATAAGCGCCATGCTCCAGATAGAAGCGCCGGCGCCCTTAATCGGACGGCGCCTATTTTCGGGGCCATACGGTAGTGATGGGGAAAAAAAGCAATGTATTCATGAGTCATATGTTATGTGATGAGAAGTATAGCGTGTAAAATGTTAAAGGAAGTGGGCGCCAGCAGCGGGTGATGGAATAGAAGTGTGTGCGAGCAGCAGGAGATGGAATGGAATTGTGGAAGCGTGGAATAGAACGTCCTTCTTTCAGTATCACCTTGGAATATCATCCGGTAGATAGCTGACTACACGGCCGACCTACTTGCTTGAGTAGTGAGAGAATGATGATACTACCATATGGCCCCGGATATAGGCGCCGTCCGATTAAAGGCGCCGGCGCCTATATCTGGAGCATGGCGCTTATGGTCATTCCTCGATTATAAGCACAACCCCTGTAAAATCATGATTTATTATAAGCGCACACATAATTTTATTATTTCAATCCTGATTAAAACAGTAACGAATTTCGAATTTCAAGCGAGTCAGCACCCATTTTCACTTTGTTCGACTTTCGAGGTCCTGACTGGTTTCGCGTTCAATCAGGATGATGTGAAAGAACAAGGAGTGGATGAAATAGAAATGAGATAGATACAAATGTGAAAGCCTAGAGTGTTGTACCCCTTAGTGTCTACCCCACTGTAGCCTACAGTGACTAAGTAATATAAGTCTGACACACCCCCATAGGCAGAGTGGGGGAGAACTAGGGGTCACAAGACCAGTCAAACAATGCAAAACAAGCTCAGGGTGGATCACAACGTCACCACACATTCCGAGCACAGGTTCAAGGCCACAAGGCCAGTTCACATGAAGGAGTATATATAAAGGTAAACAAGCAAGTGCAGGTATATATAGATCACAGTACAAGCAAGGTCAAGAAGTAAGCAAGTGAGGCCAAGTAGGCACAAGACCTAACATCGTACAAAAGCGCTGATGATCACAAGGCTGAAGTGCCTTGGTGAAGATATCAGGAGTGTTGGCCTGAGAGGCCACGCAAGCAAGGCGCAGCTGACCACACTGCTGCAGCTCACGAGCAAGGAAGTAGCGAAGAGCAATGTGCTTTGTTCTGTGCTCCAGTCTGTGCTCCCGACACAAGGCCAGCATGGCCTTGTTGTCTACGTACAGAACTGGAGGAGAACGAGGTGGCTCTCCCAGGTCAGTCAGCAGGTAGGTGAGCCAGCGTAACTCCTGTGCAGCCATGGCCCCTGCGTAGATCTCGGCTTCACAGCTGGAGCCGAGAACAGAAGACGAGCGGGTAGACCGCCACGAAACAAAGCCGGAACCAAGGCTGAAGGTGTAACCCTGCGACGACCGCTGCGTAGCCAAGTCGTCAGCCCAAGAAGCGTCTGCGTGACCAGTGAGGACCACTGCCCTCCAAGCACAAGCCCCATGCCTGATGTACTGCACAAGTAGCGCAACACCCCCTTCGCTGCAGCCATGTGCTCTGGTCGGTGTCTCCCGGGAGCAACATAGCGTGTCAGGATGCTAAGAGGGTATGCTAGGTCTGGACGAGTGCAGGTCATCAGGTACATGAGGCAGCCAACAAGCTCTGGGTACGGGCCACTCGGCTCTACGGACTCATCCGAAGGCAGAGCTGAGAGCGAGTGGCGCGTAGACAGAGGAGTGGCCTGAGGTGAGGAGTACATGAATTTGAAGCGCTAAAGGACCTGCTGCACCATGTGTGACTGAGTCAAGGTAATGGTGCGGCGTGCTCTGTCCCGGGTGATCTGCAAGCCAAGATAGCTGCATAGTTCACCCAAGTCTGTGCACGTGTGTCTCTTCTACAGCTCTGACTTCACGTGGGCAAGTCCAGCAGTGTCGGCAGTGGCAAAGACCAAGTCGTCGACGTACACGAGGATGTAGAAAGTCCGAGTGGGCCCCAATTAGGTGCCATGACTTTACGTGGCAGCAACTATGTTTTTTAGGTAAAAATATAAGTGTAAATGGTGCTTGCTTGTAGACCTTGTGAAGAAAAGTTTGATGGTAACCGGTTTCGGCATATAGCCTTCTTCAGACCACAAGGAGAAAAAGAGCAAGCAAACTACGTCAAATACCAACCCCTAGGGCTCCATCGCGTGGCATTCCATCGCGGGGCCTGGGTGGTGGGGGGACGTATAGAAAACAGTCCTCCCGTGTCCTGCGGCTCCCTCTGGCACCCTGTCTGGTCTCTACCTCCCCTCGTTCTCTACGAACCTGGTGAGTGGTGCTGACCTACAGGATGCGGGTGTCCCCTAGTTCACTCCTGCTCGTCAGCGGGTTACACATTGCACAGAGGCTAGCACAGGTCGCCACCTGGCTACGTTTACACGTCAGCCAGGGTCGAGCCTGTACACACTGACCACTGCTTCTCCTCCAGGTGCTGAGTCTGGTAGGGTCCCTTCGTCTGGTCAGGTGTTTGCTGCAGCGTCCAGGTCTGGTCCTGAGTCTGCCCCCTGTTCGTGTCGCCGTCTGTCTCACGAGACCCTCCTCTGGCACCACCGCCTTGGCCACCCCTCTCTGCTTCGGCTCAGAGGCATGGCCTCCCGTCTTCTTGTGTCTGGTCTCCCCCGGTCCCTCCCTCCCCTTCCTCAGGGCCCTGGCCCTGCCTGTGTCCCCTGTGTCGAGGGGCGCCAGCGTGCTGCCCCTCACTCCTCCCAGTTTCCTCTGACAGAGGCTCCGTTGCAGACGCTTCACATGGACGTGTGGGGCCCTGCCCGCGTCCGTGGACTCGGTCACGAGCGCTACTTCCTGTTGGTGGTTGACGACTACTCGCGTTACACCGCAGTCTTCCCCTTGCGCAGCAAGGGTGATGTCACTGCGGTGCTGATCGACTGGATCCGCGCAGCTCGTCTCCAGCTCAGGCAGAGCTTTGGCTCGGACTTTCCTGTGTTGCGTCTGCACTCGGACAGAGGCGGAGAGTTCTCCTCTGGCCTTCTGCGTGCCTATTGTCGTGCGTGAGGTATCCGTCAGATCTTCACGCTCTCGGGCTCACCGCAGCAAAATGGGATTGCAGAGCGCCGCATTGGCATGGTCATGGACGTCGCTTGTACGTCTATGACGCATGCGGCTGCCCCCCATTTTCTGTGGCCGTTTGCGGTCAGGTACGCGGCGCATCAGATCAACCTCCACCCCAGGGTCTCCAGGCCAGAGACCTCCCCAGCCCTGCTGTGGACGGGGAAGGTTGGTGATGCGTCAGCGTTCCGGGTCTGGGGATCTCGGGCGTTTGTCCGCGACTTGTCTGCGGACAAGCAGTCCCCTCGCGCTGCTCCCTGCGTCTTCCTGGGGTTCCCCCCCGACGCACCTGGGTGGCAGTTCTACCACCCCACCTCTCGGCGTGTTCTGTCCTCCCAGGACGTCACGTTCGACGAGTCGGTACCCTACTACCGCCTCTTCCCCTACCGCACTCCGTCCCTCCCCCCACCCCCGCTCTTCTTGGTACCAGGTCCCCCCCCGGTAGACCCCCTCCCCCCTCAGGGTCCTGCCCCTTCAGGTGTGTCCCAGGTAGACGCGGTCGAGCCTGTCGAGGTCACTGGTGACTCTGGTGCTGCTGTGGGTGCTGAGCCTGGGGGTGCTGAGCCTGGGGGTGCTGAGCGTGGGGGTGCTGAGCCTGGGGGTGCGGAGTCTGGGGGTGCTGAGCCTGGGGGTGCTGAGCCTGGGGGTACTGAGCCTGGGGGTGCTGCGCTTGGGGGTGCTGAGACTGGAGGTGCTCCGCCTGGAGGTGCTTTGCCTAAGGGTCCTGGGCCTGGACGTTCTCCGCCTGGAGGTGCTTCGTCTTGCCGAGAGCCACTCTCCCCACAGGAGCTGCGTGAGTGGTTTTCCCGGCACTGGAGGCGTGCTGCTGGTGCTGGAGGTTCTTCGGCTGCTGAGGGTGCTGCTGCCGCGCGTCCCGGAGGTGCTCGTACTGTGGGTACTGGAGCTGCTGGGCCTGCGGGTTCTCCTGGAGCTGGTGCTGCTGAGGGTGTTGGCGCTGAGACTACCGCTGGCGGTCCGGCTGGCAGTGCTCCTGGTGCTGCTGGGGGTTCTGGGGCTACTGGAGGTTCTGCTAGGGGTT